AATCTCTAGATAGAGACAGAAAGTATATCAGTAGGTGGCTAGGACTGGGGAGAAGACTAATGGGAAGTGACTGCTAATGAGTATGAAACGTCTTTGGTGGGGGTGCGGGGGTGAAAATGTTCTAAAATTGATCACGATTGGGAGGTTGAGGCGGGTGGATCACTTGAGGTCAGGAGTTTGAGACCACACTGGCCAACATGGTAAAACCCCGTCTCTACTAAAAATACAAAAATTAGCCAGGCATAGTGGTGTGCACCTGTAATCTCAGTTACTTGGGAGGCTGAGGCAGGAAAATCACTTGAACCCAGCAAACAGAAGCTGCAGTGAGCTGAGATTGTACCACTGCACTCCAGCTTGGGTGACAGAGCGAGAGTCTGTCTCAAAAAATAAAAATAAATAAATAAAACTACTGAATGGTATACTTTTATTTATTTATAATATTATTTATTATTATTTTAACAGTACCCTTTAAAAGGGTGAATTTTACTCTGGAGGTTGAGGCCAGAGGATCACTTGAGCCCAGGAGTTCAAGTCCAGTCTGGGCAATATAGTAAGATCCTGTCTCAAAAATAAATAAATAAAAGGTGAATTAGATGGTATGTGACATGTATCTCAATGAAGTTGCAACGAAAAGATGGATGAAGTAATAGAATGTCTGTGTGCTAATGAGAATGATCTTGTAGAGAGAGGGGAAAACTGGAGGAACCATGCCCTCAAGTAGGTGAGAGAGGATGGGATTGAGTGCCAAAGTGGAGAGACTGGATTTTGATGACAGTAGGAGCACCTTATCCAGAACAGAGAGAAGGCAGAGTATGTGGATACAGATGCTATGTGGTAGTTGGATGTAGTGGTGGGAATATGCAGATGTTTTATTCCAATGGTTTTCATGTTTTCAGTCAAGTAGGAAGCCTGAGTGTAAGGACAGGAAAGGAAATGTTGAGGATTTCAGCAGAGAAGGTACAAAACAATCATCATCCAGGAGGGTAGGAGAGGAAATGCAATGGAGCAGGTAGAGAGCTGGATTTAACCAGGGCTGAGGCTGTGCCTGGTAAAGTGGATGGTAAGTACGCTGAAGTGACAGAAGGTGGAGGGAAGTGAGACTGTCCACCCAGGAATGACTGTAACGGTGGGCCATGGAATCTAAGCTGATTAAAGGAGGGATATGGGAGCATGGAGGAAGTGAAGGGGAGTGAAAGTGTTCAATGCCAGTGGGATTGAGGGATTGCTGGAGTTGGAGTACTAGTAGGTGTGAGCTAGAAAAATAGGAGGCACTGGCTAGAGAAGAGGATGCCTGAAACTGAGCATATGGAAACAATGCAGTCACAGGTACTGACAAGAACAAGGGTCAGGCTTGGCGTAGTGGGTCACACCTGTAATCCTAGCACTTTGGGAGGCCCAGGCGGGTAGGTCACTTGAGGTCAGGAGTTCGAGACCAGCCTGGCCAACATGGTGAAATGCCGTCTCACAAAATTTAGCTGACCGTGGTGGCAGGCACCTGTAATCTCAGCTACTCTGGAGGCTGAGGCAGGAAAATCACTTGAACCCAGGAGGCGGAGGCTGCAGTGAGCTGAGATCGCACTACTGCACTCCAGCCTGGTGACTCCGTCTCAAAGAAAAAACAAGGGTCAGACTATTGGAGTAGGTAGCTGAGGTGGGGTTAAAAGGCAGGATCATTGTAGGGTGGCAAATCACAGAACTAATAGATGAAAATATTAGAAGGATCAGCTACAAAGATATTAAAGTCACCAAGAATTAGGATAGGACCAGTGTTAAAGAGAATGACAGTGAGATCTTAGCTAAACTCATCTAGAAATGGTAATGACAGGGGCAGATATGTGTGTATGTCTGTATATGATGATACAAAGTGGTAGCTGATGGTATATTCTGATGATATGAGATTTACAACAGGGTTGCTGATATTTATATAATCCCAACTTATTAAATCACTTATTAATTATGAAAGAAAAAAGGGGAACTCTAGTGGAAAAACCTGACAGACACCACCTTAAACACCTTAAACAAGGACTCAAAGTGAACAAAACCAGTATCAGGACAAAATGACATCACATGCCTCCTGATAGGAAGCACTGAAGACATAACTTCTCTTCTGCAGTATTCTCACCAGAATTACATAATTTGAATATAATCACAGTGAAACTTGAAACAAACCCCAATTCTATGAAATAACTGTCCAGGAGTCTTCTAAATGATCAAAATCATAAAAGACAAAGACTCAAGAACTGTTCCATACTGGAAGAGCCTAAGGAGGCATGATAACTAAAGGTAATGTGGGAGCCTGAACTGAATCCTTGAAAAGTGGCACTAGTGAAAAACTGATGTAATCTAAAGAAGCTCTGTAGTTTCGTTAAGAGTACAGGCAATACCTCATTTTATTGTGCTGCACTTTATTGCACTTCACAGATACTGTGTGTTTTACTAATTGAAGGTTTGTGGCAAAGTTGTATTGAGTAAATCTATTAGTGCCATTTTTCCAACAGCATGTGCTCACTTAGTGTCTCTGTCTTACATTTTGGTAATTTTCACATTTCAAATCTTTTCTTTTATCTGTTATGGTGATCTGTGATCAGTGAATTTTTTTTTTTTTTTTTTTTTTTTTGAGACAGGGTTTCACTCCTGTCACCCAGGCTGGAGTGCAGTGGCGTTATCTCAGTTCACTGCAGCCTTTGCCTCCTGGGCTCAAGTGATTCTCCTGCCTCAGCCTCCCTGAGTAGCTGGGACTAGCGGCACACGCCATGGGGCCCAGCTTAATTTTTGTATCTTTTGTAGAGATGGAGTTTCACCATCTTGCCTACGCTGGTCTTCAACTCCTGAGGTCAAGCAATCCACTCGCCTTGGCCTCCCAAAGTGCTGGGATTACAGGCGTGAGCTACTGCACCCTGCCTAGATCAGTGATCTTTGGTGTAACTATTTGTAAGTGTTTTAGGGTACCATGAACTGTACCCATGTAAGATGGCAACCTGAACTGACAAATACATATGTTCTGGCTGCTCCAGTGATTGGCTATTCCTCCATCTCTCTCCCTCTCCTCAGGCCTCCCTGTCCGAGACACAACAATATTGAAATTAGGTCAATTAATAACCCCACAATGCCTTCTAAGTATTCAAGTGAAAGGAAGTGTCTCAACGTCTCTCACTTTATTTTTTATTTTTTTAGAGACAGTGTCTTGCCATGTTGCCCAGGCTGGTCTCGAACTCCTCAGCTCACACAATCCTCCCGCCTCAGCCTCCCAAAGTGCTGGGATTACAGCCGTGAGCCATTGTGCCCAGCCTTCAATAGCTCTCACTTTAAATCAAAGGCTAGAAATAATTAAGCTTTGTGAGGAAGGCATGTTGAAAGCTGAGAAAGGCCGAAGTCTAGGCTTCTTGTGCTGAACAGTTAGCCAAGTTGTGAATGCAAAGGAGAAGTTTTTGAAGGAAATAAAAAGTGCTACTCCAGTGAACACATGAGTGATAAGACAGTGAAACCGTGTTATTATGGATATTGAGAAAGTTTGGGTGGTCTGGCTAGACAATCAAATCAGCCACAACATTTCCTTAAGCCAAAGCCTAATTCAGAGCAAGGCCCTAACTCTTTTCAATTCTATGAAGGCTGAGAAAGGTGAGGAAACTACGGAAGAAAAGTTGGAAGCTAGCAAAAGTCGGTTCATGAGGAGAGAAGCCATCTCCGTAACATAAAAGTGCAAGGTGAAGCTGCAAGTGCTGATGCAGAAGCTGCAGGAAGTTATCTAGAAAAATCTACCTAAGATAGTTGGTGAACAACAGATTTTCTTTTTCTTTTTTTTTTGAGACAGAGTTTCGCTCTTGTTGCCCAGGCTGGAATGCAGTGGCGCGATCTCGGCTCACTGCAGTCTCTGCCTTTGGGTTTCAACTGATTCTCCTGCCTCAGCCTCTCGAGTAGCTGGGATTACAGGTGCCCGCCACCACACCTGGCTAATTTTTGTATTTTTAGTAGAGACGGGGTTTCACTATGTTGGTCAGGCTGGTCTCGAACTCCTGACCTCATGATCCGCCCACCTTTGCCTCCCAAAGCGCTGGAATTACAGGCGTGAGCCACCATACCCGGTCAACAGATTTTCCTTTTCTTTCTTTTCTTTTTTTTTTTTTTGAGACAGAGTCTTGCTCTGTCGCCCAGGCTGGAGTGCAATGGCATGATCTCAGCTCACCGCAACCTCTGCCTCCTGGGTTCAAGTGATTCTCCTGCCTCAGCCTCTCGAGTAGCTGGGGTTATAGGCATGCGCCACTATGCCCAGCTAATTTTGTATTTTTAGTAGAGGCAGGATTTCTCCATGTTGGTTAGGCTAGTCTTGAACTGCCAACCTCAGGTGATCCGCCCGTCTCGGCCTCCCAAAGTGCTGGGATTACAGGCGCGAGCCATCGCACCTGGCCAACAGATTTTCAGTGTAGCTGAAACGGTCTTATACGGGGAGAATATGCCATCTAGTACTTTTATAGCTAGAAAGAAGTCAATACCTGGCTTCAAAGCATCAAAAGACAGGATGACTCTCTTGTTAGAGGCTCACGAAACTGGTGACTTTTAACTTGAAGCCAGTGTTCATTTTACCATTCTGAAAATCCTAGGATCCTTAAGAACTATGCTAAATATACTCTGTGCTCTATAAACGGAGCAACAAAGCCTGGATGATAGCAAATCTGTTTATAGCCTAGTTTATTAAATATTTTAAACCTACTGTTGAGACCTGCTACTCAGATAAAAAGATTCCATTCAAAATATTACTGCTCATTGAAAATGCACCTGATCACCTAAGAGCTCTGATGGAGATGTACAAGGAGATTCATGCTGTTTTCATGCCTGCTAACACAACATCCATTCTGCAGCCCATGGATCAAGGAGTAATATTGATTTTCAGGTCTTATTATTTAGGAAATACATTTCATAAGTCTATAGCTGCCATAGATAGACAGTGATTCCTCTGATGGATCCAGGAAAAGTAAATTGAAAATCTTCTGGAAAGGACTCACCATTCTAGATGCCATTAAGAACATTTGTGATTCATGGGAGGAGGTCAAAATATCAACATTAACAGGAGTGTAGAAGAAGTTAACTCCAACCCTCAGGGATGACTTTCAGGGGTTTCAAGACTTCAGTAGAGGAAGCAACTGCAGAGATGGTAGAAATAACAAGAGAATCAGAATTAGAAGTGGAGGCTGAAGAAATGACTGAATTGCTGCCATCTAATGATCAAACTTTTTTTTTTGAGATGGAGTCTCGCTCTGTTGCCCAGGCTGGAGTGCAGTGGCGCGACCTCAGCTCACTGCAACCTCCGCCTCCCATGTTCAAGGGATTCTCCTGCCTCAGTCTCCTGAATAGCTGGGACTACAGGTGCCCGCCACCATGCCTGGCTAATTTTTTTGTATATTTAGTAGAGACAAGGTTTCACCGTGCTGGCCAGGCTGGTCTCAAACTCCTGACCTCAGGCAATTCACCAGACTTGGCCTCCCAAAGTGCTGGGATTACAGGTATGAGCCACCGCACCAGGACCATGATGAAACTTTAATGGAGCCTGGGCAACAAAGTGAGACCCTGTCTCCACAAAAATTAAAAAAAAAAAAAAAATAGCTGGGCATGGTGGCACATACCTGTGGTCCCCACTACTCTGGAGGCTGAGGCAGGAGGACTGCTTGAGGCCAGGAGTTCGAGATTAGCCTGGACAACACAACAAGACCCCACCTTTGCAAAATTTCAAAAACTGGCTGGGCGTGGTGGCATGCACCTATAGTCTCAGCTACCTGGGAGGCTGAGGTGGGAGGATTGCTTGAGCCTGGGAGGTCGAGGCTGCAGTGAGCTGTGATCGCACCACTACACTCTGGCCTGGGTGACAGAGCAAGATCCTGTCTCAGAAAAAAAAAAGAAAAAAGTTAGTGGATGAGGAGTTGCTTCTTATGGATGAGCAAAATAGTGATTTCCTGGGATGGAATCTACTGGTGAGGATGCTGTGAACACTGTGGAAATGACAACAAAAGATTTAGAATATTACATAAACTTAGTTAACAAAGTAGTAGCAGGGTTTGAGAGAACTGACTCCAGTTTTGAAAGATGTTCTACTGTGGGTAAAATGCTATTAAACAGCAACACACGCTACAGAGAAACCTTTTGTGAAAGGAAGAGTCAACGTGCCAAACTTCATTGATATCTTATTTTAAGAATTTGCCACAGCCACCCCAACCAGCAACCACCACCCTGCTCAGTCAGCAACCATCAACATCGAGGTAAGACCCTCCACCAGCAAAAAATTACAACTTGCTGAAAGCTGGGATGATCTTTAGCATTTTTTAGCAATATAGTATTTTTAAATTAAGGTAAATACTTTTTTTGATACAATGCTATTGTACACTTAACGGACTATGGTACAGTGTAAACACAACTTTTATATGCACTGGGAAACCAAAAACTTCATCTGACTTGCTTTATTGTGTTGGTCTGGAACTGAACCTGTGATATGTCTGTATGTACCAATGTTAATTTTCTAGTTTTGATAGTTAAACTGTAGTTATATAATTTATTTCTTTTCTTTTCTTTTTTTTTGAGAGAGTCTCGCTCTGTCACCCAGGATGGAGTGCAGTGGTACGATCTCGGCTCACTGCAACTCACCCAGGATGGAGTGCGGTGGTATGATATCGGCTCACTGCAACCTCCGCCTCCTGAGTTCAAGCAATTCTCCTGCCTCAGCCTCCCAAGTAGCTGGGACTACAGGCGTGCGCCACCACACCCTACTAATTTTTGTATTTTTAGTAGAGATGGGGTTTCACTGTGTTGCCCAGGCTGGTCTCGAACTCCTGACCTCAGGTGATCCACCCACCTCGGCCTCCCAAAGTGCTGGAATTACAGGCGTGAGCCACCACGCCCAGGCTGTAATTATATAATTTCTTAACATGTGGGGAATCTAAGTGAAGAATATATGAGAATTCTTGTAAAATTTTTGAAGCTTTTTAAGTTTGAAATTATTTTAGGTTTAAGAATTCTTGGTCGGGCCCGGTGGCTCACACCTGCAATCCCAGCACTTTGGGAGGCCGAGGTGGGCGGATCACTTGAGGTTAGGAGTTCAAGACCAGCCTGGCCAACATGGTGAAACCCTGTCTCTACTAAAACTACAAAAATTAGCCAGGCGTGGTGGTGCATGCCTGTAGTCCCAGCTACTTGGGAGGCTGAGGCAGGAGAATCACTTGAACCCAGGAGGCCGAGGCTGCAGTGAGCCAAGATTGTGCCACTGCACTCTAGCCTGAGTGACAGAGTCAGATTCCGTCTAAAAAAAAAAAAAAAAAAAACTTAAATGAAAAAAGAGTTGTTTAAGGAGGGAGAATGTCTGGAAAGGGTAACTAGGAGCAAGCACACCCACCCTCACCCTCACCACCCAGTCTCCTGGTAAGAGGGGTATGAGAGGGCTGCCGGGAGGAAAGAGTGTTCAGGGGAAAGCCAGGCTGTTACTTAAGCAGTGGTTCTCACTGAAAGGTGGGGGCTGGACAATTAAAGGGTGTTTCAGGACATTCATTCTTTCTTTTTTTCTTTTTCTTGAGACGAAGTTTCACTCTTGTTGCCCAGGCTGGCTCACTGCAACCTCCACCTCCTGGGTTCAAGCTATTCTCCTGCCTCAGCCTTCCCAGGAGCTGGGATTACAGGCATGCGCCATCACGTCAGCCTGGCTAATTTTTGTATTATTAGTAGAGATGGGGTTTTACCATGTTGGCCAGGCCAGTCTCGAACTCCTCACCTCAGGTGATCCACCCACCTCGGCCTCCCAAAGTGCTGGGATTACAGGTGTGAGCCACAGTGCCTGACCCATTTTTTATTGTTTGAGCCACGTGCCCGACCCATTTTTTATTTTTTTTATTTTTTTTATATTTTTGAGACAGGGTCTTGCTGTCACCCAGGCTCTGGAGTGCAGTGGTGCAATCCTGGCCCACTGTAACCTCCGCCTTCTGGGCTCAAGCAATCCTCCCATCTCAGCCTCCTGAGTAGCTGGGACTACAGGCGTGCACCACAACACCTGGCTAATTTCTGTATTTTTTGTAGAGACGGAGTTTCATCATGTTGGCCAGGCTGGTCTCGAACTCCTGGACTCAAGTGATCTGCCCACCTTGGCCTCCCAAAGTGCCGGGATTACAGGCGTGAGCCATCACACCCGGCCCTGTTTGGGGGCATTTTTGACTGTGACAATAATTGGAGATCATCAGTGACAACCCCGGCTATGGACCAGGGATGCTCAGCCCTCTGCAGTGTACACGACAGCTCCACACCACGAAGAATCATACCACGTCCCATACAACTTTAGAATATCTCACCAGTCATGTAGGTGAAAAACCTGTTCATTTCTTCTTTTATTCATTCAACAAACATTCATTGAGAAAGTCTACTAGGTGTCAAGCACTATTTTAGGTAATAGGAATATATCATAGAACAAAAAAGACAAAAATCCCTGCCCTTCTGGAGCTTATAACTGAGTGGGAGAGTCAGACAAAAAACAGCAAACATACTAAGCAGTTAATGCTGCACTGTGAAAAAGGTGTAGAATACCATGTAACAGACAGAGCAGGGGCATATTAGGGGAGAGCTGCAATTTTCAACAGGATGGTCAGGGGGGCCCTCTGAGAAAGTGACAGCTGAGTAGAGGCTTGAAGGAAGCAAGGGCCTCAGTCTCGTGGGTATTTGAGGAAAAAGCATTCCTGATACACGGAATGCAAAACCCCTGAGGTGGAAGTATGCGTAAGGTGTTCAAGTAATAGTAAGGCGGCCAGCATGGGTGGATAGAGTGAGCAAGGCAGGGAGAGCGGTGGGAGATAAGGTCAGGGAGATTAAGAGGGTCTGATCATGGATATGAATATATATTGATTTTTTCCAGAAATTTAACAACCATATAAACTAAGAAACTATTCCACATTATTTTGTTTAGAACTTTGTGAAGAACTGTTCATTGTTTAGGAAAACTGTATCACTCTACCTGTGGCTTCTGAATCACCAATCAACACACTCGTAGCTGTCACTATCACTAAGTGTAAGACCATTTCATTATGTCTTCTAGTGGAGTCATATCCCAGTCTTTGCATATATATGTATAATGTAATATACATTACTCTTCCTTTACTACTCTCTATATTACAATTAAGGCATTATATTAGTTTTCAGGGAATTATGTGTGTAGACAGATTCTATTTTCTATCCATTTCATTTTAGAAAAGTGAAGCATTTCAAAATATACCTTATTTAATAAAAAGCAATGTTGGGTCCAACAGGTATGAGAACGACCAAAGCATAGCAAGAAAATAAAGGGAGTATTCAGAAGCCAGGATGAGAATGGAGGGAATTTTGCTGATAACTGAAGGTGAGTTCCTTAAGGCCTGGTCAAAGGATTTCAGGATGAAAATAGAAAATAGGATGTCCAGGGCTGTATGGAGATGTAACCAGGAGATCTGTGGGCTTCTTCTGGTGACTAACATATAGGATAAGGGGTTATTAAAAAGTGGTTTTTAATCTAAGTTGCTCCCCACTTTGGGTATCTCTACTTGTTTAACAGAGTAGGCTGGGGAGCAAATAGTTCTCTCTTCAATGAGACCAGAAGCAACCCAAAGCCAGGTTCCATTTTTTAACCCACAAAACAGGTCAGAGCCCCAGGCTAAGCTCATGTCCTCGGGGGTAAACCAATTGCTACGAACTATGCACCTCTAACCTCTTAGGGTTGAGAAAGAGACGGGTAAAAAGAGGAAAAACAGTAACAGAGAAAGGCAGAAGCATTCAGAAAGATCCAATGGAGGAAGGGTCTGAGACAGAGAAGAGAGACAATATTCTTTTCAATCAAGATAGTCATTATTTATTGAAAATTTTCTAAAGACTGGGTGCAGGGCAAAGTAACGCACATGCAATTGTCTCAGGTACAGATTATCAGACCCCCAATTGACAGATGAGGAAACTGAGGCCCAGGTTGGTGAAGGAGACAGCTCAAGGTCTCATAGCTAGTTTAAACTGGTCAGGTCAGGATTCAGCATCTCATGTCTACTACGTCTCAAAAAGTGGGACAGTCAGAAAGAGATAGAGATGGGAGAGGGGGTGCAGAGACAGACACGCACGCAGATGATCACGTGAGCGGCAGACCTGCATGGAACCGTTTCGAAAGACACCGAGGGTGGGAAGTGGGGCTGCGGAGGGCAGCAACAGGCACCGACTGCTCCGCAGAGTACTCACCCGTTTGCCGTCTGGGAGCCGCAGGAGCACTCGGCCTCCCTTTGCTACCCGCACGATCCTCCGCAACCCGCTGACCTAGGATTGAGAGGCCGCCCAAGTAAAAGCTCGCGCAGGCCCCACCCCTCGCGAGCTCCGGCCGGCCTCTTCCCGCTGCCACTCCCCCCACAGCCCAGTCTTTATGGCTTCTCACCGTACACCTCCGGCCGTCGCCGCCGCTGTCCCTCCTGCGCGCGCACAGATACGAGAGGACTACCGCAAGACCTGGAAGGATACACTGGACGCAACCCTTCCACGGGTTGCAGCGCGAGCAGGGGCACGGGCCTACGCCGCTACAGACGGCTCCCCGGCTCCCATTGGAGGAGTGCCCTTCTGCCTTTCCAGGGATTGGCTGGGGATGGAAACACTTTATTTTTACCCCCGAGGCTTAGAGCCAATCCGAGGAAAACTCCGCCCCTTCGGGGGACCTTGATTGGTTAAGGAGCCAAGCCCACCCTTTAATAGGATTGGCCAGGAAAGGAGTACTCGTCATTGCCCTTTGCTGGTCTATTCGACAGGGCGTCTGGGGGCTAGTTGGCAATACGCAGGCGCGAAGCCGGAAGCCCAGCCAGGCGCCAAGTCATTGAACAATCGAGTTGTCTGGCTGCTTTGACGTTTTACTCTCCATAAGCCACCTTGCACTGCCACCGCTCTGCTAAGAGACGCAATTCTGCCCCTAGTTTCTCACAGCTCCACACCCACCTGCAGAGATTCCTAAGCCAGGTTTCTCTCACTCAAAGTGAGCAGAGTTCCTAATTCCATGCATGGAGGATGAGGTGGTTATGGGGACGTGGCGAGTTACCCACCAGTCCCTGATACCTACTGAGACATTGGTCAAGTGACGACCTCGCTAGGAGCCTCAGTTTAACCATCTGGTAATGGAAAGATGTTTTAAAATTTTCCTCACAATGTGTGAGGATTAAATGAGAGGACATATATGAATCAGTTGCCTGGGGCATAAACATTTAAGTTCTCTCCTCTCAATTCTTTCCCAGTGTTCAGGCGGGCAGAACTTATGGCCCAGAGAGGCAAACTGACTGGCTTGAAGTCACACAGCCAGGCTCCACCCCTCGCGCGCTCCGGCCCGGCCTCTTCCCGCTACCACTCCCCACCACCGTCCAGTCTTCGCGGCTTCTCACCGTAGACCGCCGGCAGTCGGCGCAATAAGACCCAGAATAAAACCCAGGCTTTCGTCTTCCAAAGGAAAGTTGTTTAAGAAGGAAGGAGAGATGGGAAGGACCCTCCGATTTGCAAGAGTTCTTAATTTGTATTCTACAGACCTCTAATCGAGGCTGGTGACAGGGTTTGGAGAAGCCCATGAATTTGGATGGAAACAAATTTACATCTTTATGGCCGGGCGCAATGGCTCACGCCTGTAATCCCAGCACTTTGGGAGGCCGAGGCGGGCGGATCACCTGAGGTCGGAGTTTGAGACCAGCCTGACCAACACGGAGAAACCCCGTCTCTACTAAAAATACAAAATTAGCTGGGCGTGGTGGCACATGCCTGTAATCCCAGCTACTAGGGAGGCTGAGGCAGGAGAATCGCTTGAACCTGGGAGGCGGAGGTTGCGGTGAGCTGAGATGGCACCATTGCACTCCAGCCTCGGCAATAAGAGTGAAACTCCGCCTCAAAAAAAAAAAAAAAAAAATGTACGTCTTTATTTTCCCTCTCCTCTAACTGAAATTTAGCATTTTTCAATAAAGAATGTAACTAGGCATAGTAGCAGCAGTAGTAGGAGTACTGATTGTCACCAATAGAAATCAGAGATTTTCATATCACATTATAGATGTTGCAGATCTCTTGAAAATCATATAATTTCAATAATTATTTTGAAATCATGATAGTCATTAGACCCTCCATTAAATCTTATGATTTAATGGATTAATGGGGAGTACATATACGATTATACTATAGCACATATTTGCTTTTTCCGTATTTTAATAACTATATTTCAATGTAATCAATTTCTTTTGTAATTCTAGATACTTTATTTTATGAATTTAAACGATTTTTGTTTTTTTTTTTTCTGAGAAAAAGTCCAGTGGGGCGTAGTGGCTCATGCCTGTAATCCCAGAACTTTGGGAGGCCGGAGGGGGGTGAATCACCTAAGGTCAGGAGTTCCAGACCAGCCTGGCCAACATGGTGAAATCCTGTCTCTACTAAAAATACAAAAATTAGCTGGGGGTGGTGGCAGGCGCCTGTAATCCCAGCTACTTGGGAGGCTGAGGCAGGAGAATTGCTTGAACCCAGGAGGTGGAGGTTGCAGTGAGCCAAGATCATGCCATAGAACTCCAGCCTGAGCAACAAGAGTGAGACTCCATCTAAAAAAAAAAAAAAAAAAAGAAGAAGAAGAAAAAGAAAAAGATCCATAGGCTTCACTAGATTACCAAAGGGGTCCATGGCACAAAAAATATTAAGAATATTTGTCTTGAACTCTAGGCTCCAGGAGGAAAAAGACTTGCTCTATCAGCTGGGCGCAGTGGCTCACGCCTGTAATCCCAACACTTTGGGAGGCCAAGGCAGGCTGATCACGAGGTCAGGAGGTCGATACCATCATGGCTAACACGGTGAAACCCTGTCTCTACTAAAAATACAAAATATTAGCCAAGCGTGGTGGCGGGCGCCTGTAGTCCCAGCTACTCGGGAGGCTGAGGCAGGAGAATGGCGTGAACCCGGGAGGCAGAGCTTGCAGTGAGCGGAGATTGTGCCACTGCACTCCAGGCTGGGCAACAACAACAAAAAGACTTGCTCTATCTTGTTTCCCTGCTGTATCCCTGTCACCCAGTTCAGTACTTCAGGCACACAGTAGGTACTTGTAAGTGTTTACTGAATGAATAATAGGATTCCTTCCCAACCATCCTGCACACCCCCAATTGGGGGAGCCAGTGCCGGCCCTTTGGGTCACCTAAGAAGGAGGGACATTCTTGAATCTAGTTTTGTCCCTGCCAATCTGATTCTGCTCACAGAAGTAGGTGGCACTTTAAAGGTCTGGTCCCAGGAAATCCCAGGAACCTCCCACCCAGGAGCAGGGCCCTCTGCTGCAAAGGAGTGAGGGCAAGCTAGGAAGCATATGAAGACAAGTAGTTTCAACATGGGAACAGGCCCTAGGGCACATTGGGCCCATGACTCTTCATCCTCCTAGTTTCTGTTTAAGGTCTCAGCCAATGGGGCCTGTCTTCTCTGGCCTTCGGCGAAGACAATATCTTGGAGCTAGATGTGACCTTAAAGACCTAGAATAGCCCTCCCTTTCGGAGGTCCAGACTGAAGAGTGAGGGCACAGGGAACAAGATGTTACTCTGGGCAAAGAACATCCTGTCCTCACATGGCTCAGCCAAGGACATGAGCACCCTGGCCAACTATATTAGAATCCTATGATTGACTCTTAAGAGCATCCCTGAAGATGAAGACCAGAGGCCCTATAATAGGGTGGGTGAAGAAGAGTCCGAAATGCCAGGATGAGGGGCTGGGGATTTGATTTGGGGGACAGAGAGGAATCAGGGAAGAGCACAATGAAGGCCAGACTTCAGAGACCGGCTTCAAGGCTAGACTCTGTCTTGAGACCTTAGGCAGGTCGCTTCTCCTAGACTGATCCCCCAGCACAATAAGCCTCAGTTTATAGATGGGAAAACTGTGGCCCTCTAGAGAGGACAAGGAGAGTCATGTTGTGAGGTAAGTCAGACTGAGGCAAGAGTAACCAGGCTGGTGACTCTGGCTCTGATTAGCTGGGATCCTTTGGCAGGCTGACCTCTTCCTGGCCTACTCCATTGCCTTTGCCCCTGCTGCTTTCCCCTCCCCTCCTCTTCACCACATACTCATTGGGGTTGGCTCCAGATATTGCATGTAGATGTCTGTTTTCTCTAGGGTCCTGCACTCTCAGCTCTGGCCTTGAGGTATTGCGTTACTTTAGGCAAGACATTCCCTTTTCTGAGCCTCAGTCCTCCCTACCCACCTCTGACAGCACATCAAAGCCTCCATCCTGTCCCCCTCAAAACATCAGAATCATTGGAGAGACAAGTCAAGGATCTGGTATTCCAACCATCTCACAGAGGGGGCCCAGAGAGGGAAGGGGCCTTGCCAAAGGTCTCACACCAACGTGGCAGTCATCTTGACTCCTCTCAATCCCTCTCCTTCCATATCTAAAGCCTGTCGAGTCCAACATCTTAAAAGCTCTCATAGAACAGACAAATTGCTCTTGCAGAATAATTCCAATTAATTTATGTACATACTTCCCTCTCAAGGAAATGGAGCATAACTCCTCATTCCCTAAGCACGGGCTGCACTTACTTGGCTTCTTTCCAAAGAGTACAGCATGGAAAAAGAGAAAGAGGAGTAGCTTTACAGTGGAGAAACCTGACGGACACTACCTCAGCCAGGTGATCAAAGTTAACATCAACAGTGGTAAATCATATTGATAGTACATGCCCTTGATAGGATCTAGTGAGAATGACATTTGACTTCTGTGGTCTTCCTTCCCCAAACTCATATCCTCAGTTTAATCATGAGAGAAAACATCAGACAAATCCTGATTAAGGGACATTCTATAAAATACCTGACCAGTACTCCTCAAATGACTCCAGGTCATCAAAAACAGGGAAAGCCTGAGAGAGTGTCATAGCCAAGAGGAGCTTAAGGAGACAAGATGACTAAATGTAGTGTGCTAGTCTGGATGGAATCCTGGAACAGAAAAAGGACATTAAGTTAAAACTAAGGAAATTGGAATAAAGTATGGACTTTAGTTAATAATAATGTACTGATATTGGTTCATTAATTGCGACAAATATATCACACTAATGTAAACTGTTAAGGAAAACTGGCTGTGGGGCATACGGGACTTCTCTGTTATCTTCACAATAAATCTGTAAATTTAAAACTATTCTGAAATTAAGTTTATTTTAAAAACCTCTCAAATCCGCCCCCATCTTGCCAGTCCCACCTGAGGTCTAGCGTCTATTTCCTTACTGCTCTCCTTTCTTCCAGTCCATTCTCCTGGCAGCCAGCAGAGGGCATTCTCTAAAACGCAAATCTAACCATCTCTGAAGCCTTCCAGCAAAATAAAGGCGTTGGATGGAAAGTTCGGGAGATATGTTATAAAAGACCGACTCGGATGTCTGAATAAAAGTTATTGTGATCCAGAACAAATCTGGGAAATACTTCTGGCGCCCACCGAGATAAAATTTATGTATCTAAATTTAATATAACTCAGCCTTTCCAAGGTCTCCCGGATAAAGCCCGTTTTTCAGATGTCCAACTCCCTACGTTTCCATCCCTTCGCACAGTTACATAGTTAATTTCCCTTTGTTTTTCCTTTATCTCTATGGATACTTC